AACATCAGTGTATACCTGACGGATAAGGGAACAGGCACAGAGAGGTTATTAACCAGCTCAAGGTCCCACAGCTGGCAAATTAAGGGAGCCAGGATTCTACTCAGGCTTCTGGTTTTTCATCTCTTAGCCTTCAAAACATGCCACATGTAAGGAGTACAGGTGGAGTCTGAAGGCTTCCTGGAGAAGTAGGGGCAGGTCTTACAGAAGGAACGAGTAGCAATTGCTTGGATGGAAAGTTGGTTATGTTTTAGAGAAAGGAACAGAATGTGAGGGCAAAAGATGTTAAGAAACCCAGTCCAGACACAGCTCAGTGGGAGCGCTCTTGCTGGTGTGTGAGAGGAGCAAAGAGACCAAGGGAGACATCGGAAGTTACTGCAGCTGTGAGAAGGGCGAGTGGAAGGGCCGGGCAGGGGGATTGTGTCAGAAATGAGTGTCTGGCCTTTGAATTCCCTTAGCAGAAAAGAAATAGTAAGATTTACGTTTCAGAAAGGTTTGGTATCTCTTGGAATTCAGTTTTAATGTTGCCCTAGACCTTGGGGATTGCAGCAAATAACCACCCCAAATTAGCAAATCATGTACCCTGTTAGAGACATACTGGCAGAAATGTCACTCCAAAAGATTTTGAAGTGCTTGGCTTTGGGAAATAGGGTTGGTATTGGTGTCATGAAGGTAAGACATGATTACCAGGATGCCCCATGACCTTGTCTGAATAGGAGGGAAGGGTGCCGCACAGATGGCAGAGATGAAGAAGCGGCATCAGGGGCTGTCCGCCACCGGCAGACTGAGGGCAGGCCTTGCTGCTCTGGACTTCCGCCCTCCAGAGCACAGGAGGACTCAGAGCTAAGAAACACAGAAGCCCCGGGACACAAGAATTCTAACTCTGGATGTTCTGATTCCTTTTCTTTGCAGTTAATATCCTGGAGACACTGTGAGCTCTGCTGAGCAGTGTAGTTAGTAATTGCAGGAATATAAATTCTTCTAACCCCTCGGTATGGATGGTGAGTTCCCACGTGTTGGTTCAACTGCTGCAGTTTCTATCCAAAACTAAGCAGGCTTTGAAAGTGTCAAGACGAGCTCCTCTCCTCGGCCTACCTCGCCTGAAGTGCTAAGCCATCCACTTGGAAGCCAGGAAAAAGTCAGTTCTCTTTTCTTTCTTTTGTAAACCAAAAGTGAGAACCTTTTGCCCCTGTTTCTCCATTGCTGCTCTGGAGCTCGGCACTGAACCCAGAGCCTCGCCAAAGCCAAGGCCCTCTCACCCCAGGCCCTTGCTCACTGTTAAATTTGCACTCCTCTGTGACTTATTTCTAGTTCATGCCTAGTTGTGGAGGTTGTGGCTTCATATTGTAATGTGCTTTTGAGGCATGGGGCCACCATGACTAGTGAGGTTTCTTGGTTAAGTCTAATTTGTTTACATCTGATGAAAGTGTTTCCCAATTATGACAAGAATGACTGGTCAGCAGAGAACACACAGATATGTGGCTATGGGAAGAAAGGTCTGAGCCTACATGTGCTGGAAACACCACCACTGGAGCTTGTGCAAGGCTTGCACACCCATGCCATTGCAGTGCTCTGCACAGGAGTCCACGATGCCTGTGAAATTAAAAGCTGGCACTTCAACCTTCATTCCAGGCCTGAGAAATGTTAGTTTTTAAAGTAGATCATTTTATTTAGGTTCTATGGAGTGCCGACCAGTCTCTGCCTCTCCTGTCTCTGTCTTCCTCATTCATTCAGTTTGTTTACAGATTTATTTCTACTCTATTTGTGGTTATAGTTTTTAACTTGGAATAACCCAAATGATTACTTTAAAAATTCATCTTTCTATTTTTAATTATTTCTCTCAATGAAGGGTCTCTCCCCTCACTTTTAATTAAAGGTTGCATAGCTGGAAAGATTTGATATAGACTTACAATAATCAGTGTTATATCCGTTCTAGAATATTCCTTTTCAGTTTCATACACTTGGGGAACTTTCACGTTGATCCTCAAGAGAACGTCCTGGGCCATGCTGTGAAGCGCCAAGCAGCAGGTGGGGAGCCTGGCAGTGCAGAGAACGCTTTCTACAGCCCCGGTCTCTGTTCTGGCCCCTTTCCCTTCTGGTGAGAAGCAACCAGGCAGACATGGTAAAGGTTGGTCCCTGAACTCCTAGGAGGTAGATTCCACCTTGAGAAGTAAAAAGGCCATGATACATTCTTCTAGAAGGCCTCAGTCACTTGTCCCCAGGCTGTTGGTCAAGGCCAAGATGCCATAGAAGGACCCAGTCTGGGGAAACCCTTAGGTGGAAGTCTCTCTGGGAATGGAGATCCCTTTGTCCTGGCTGTCCCCTTTGCAGAAGTACAGTCTCCACGCCCTGAGCCGTGTCCTCTCGTTTCCTCACTGCAGTGTGGGGTGGGAAGAGTGCACGCGCTTTCTATTCCTCTTAAGTAATTTGGGGGGTTGAAGCATGAGGCCCCCTACACTGTTTTTATAGAACATACCTCAGTGCCTCACTCCAGCACACGCCTTGTTTTCTGCAGTGCCAGTGCTGCCCCAAAGCTGTGAGAAAGCAGGTCCCTGCATCCCTGAGGAGCAGACTTGTGAGGGCATCTGTTCTCTCAGGACAGTGTGTCTGGTGGCTAACAGGGTGAGACAAGTGACCACACACACACACACACACACACACACGCTTTGGGGGCTAAGGATGTAGCTTAGTTGGTACAGTGCTTGCCTAACAAACATGAAGCCCTAATTTTAACCCCAACATCACACAAATGGGTCATTGTGCATACTTGTAATCTTAACACCCTGTAGGTGGAGGCAGGGAAATTGTTAATTTCAAGTTTATCCTTTGTTACATAGCAAATTCAAGGCCCACCTGGGCTATCTGAGCCTGGCCTCAAGTACAAGTAAATAAGTAAAGGTGGAAGGAGAGAGAAGACACACCGTGTTGTTCTCTGACCTTTACATGTGTGCCATGACACATGCTCCCCACTGCCTCATACCATGTACACACAGGATTTTACTATAACTAAATAAATCCTTTTAGACTTATAACGAGGAAAAGGTGATGTCTGAATGTGTTCATAGGAGGCATCTGTCTTATTTCCACGACTATAATAATCCATCACGCCTGTGGTACCTGTCCACCTGACACATGTCATCTGTCCTTGACTCCTGTGCAGCGGTCTTCTGTGCCAGGAGTGAACAGTCTCTTGGTACTGGGTTTATTTGTCCACTTAATCTCCTCTCTTAACTGTTCATACTGGTGAAAGGCTGCTAGTCAGAGCTGAGGACATTCAAAACCTTACCTGAGCCATTTTAGGATTATAGGTTCGGGGGGCGGGGGTCCAGCCTCCAGCCAGCGCTAGGTCTGTTGACTGGAGGAAGAACAGTTACTGGATTATTTTAAAGCGCTCTCAGTACACGCTGCTCTCCTCTCTTCTCTGGTACACTGAGAGTCAGGTCTGCCCTTGGCCACCAAGGTGCAAGATAGAAGAACCTGTGTGCTCATGAGGTGTTCTCTTTGGATACCTCCACGGCACTCAGCCTACCACTTGGGATTTACCTTGGCTGTTCTTTAACAAGCCAAGAAGCATCAGTGAGCATCCGCTACTGGCAGACTTCAGCCTCTGAGGAGCATGCCCTGCTGGTTCTGGACTTCTGCCCTCCAACAGGTCTGAGATACTCAGGCAGAAATTACACTGCTTTTGGTACGTGGACACAGAAGCTCTAGGAAACAAACAATCTAACTTTGATTATTCTGATTATTTCATTTGCAAGTAATAAATGGGAGCTTGTGCTAGGGATCACCTCTTTTCACCCGAGGACAGCACACTGGTAGGTACTACTGTTCTGGAGCCAGAATCTCTGACCATTGAGAGCTGGAACCCGATGTTTTTGTTTGTGTACACTACGCACGTGGTTAGCTGAGGGTCTGTGTGATGTTATACACATACCACATGTAGATGTGTACACTACAAATAGTTTAATTATAAATACACCACACACATGCCTAGAGTTGGCACCTGTGCACACACTACACACAAGGGTCCATGCAGTTGTGCCCATATTGCTTATGCAGTTAGAAAGGGTCCAGTACAGTGTGCACACACTATTCACAGAAAACATCCATGGGACTGCATACATATCACACACAGAAAAGGACCATGTGACCATGCACATACTGCACACAGAAAAGGTCCGTGTGACTGTGCACATATTGCACAGGAAGTTAGAAAAGGTCTATTTGATTGTGCACACATACACAGATGATTAGAAAGGGTTCCTGGGACTGCACACAGAAAAGGTCTGTGGGACTGTACACTCACCACACACAGAAAGGGGGCCATGTGACTTGCATTACACATGCATTCACAAAAGGTCCTAGCAATTGTGCACACAGCCCACATTAGAAAAGATTCATGCAATTGTGCACACCCATTGGGTTAGAAACGGTCCACGCGAGTTGCCACTTGCCCAACCCTTGCTATGGGCGCGCCCACCCAGCAGCCAGTCCCACAGATCCGAAGAGGCCCCTAGCACACCCACCAAGCCGGCAGCACGGGAGGCCCGCGCCACCCACCGTCCCGAGCCCAGCGTAGCCCGCGGGTGGCCGCCAC